AATATTGAAGATATTAATAGACAAAGCAAGTGCCACGTCGCTGTCTAACGGTTAGAAATTATAAATCTTGGTAGGGAACACATGTAAATAAAATTTGTACTTATTATTAAAATCTCTATGAAATGTCTGATAATTTCATGTGCATTAATTAAATGATCATTTTCAACGGCCAAATGACATTGTTCATTGTGCCAAATTTTTTTTTATGGTATCTGCAAAACCGCTGAACCTGTCTTTCGAAAAAAATTAACTAATTCTTTATCATATTATTTAATCAGCGTTTCAATAGGACGCTCCGTTCTCTCAAAATATTTATTTTTTGCACATTTTATCTTGTATCTTTGAAATGGCTAAGCCTGCCTGTGCCAAAAACTAATCAGCACGCCCTCTCGTCAATACAAATCGAATGTTTTTTGAATTATTCAAACCGTGTTCACGAAATCGTCGACGAAAATTTCTATCTGAACACACACACATAGATAATTTTTTTATAAGACACGCCAAAATGTTGAGAAACCTTTGAAAACTAAGGATATATAAAGAATGTTATTATAGATTTTTTGGCAATTACTATAATTCACCCTTGAGGAGGTTAATGAAATATCTATAGTTACGTTGGACAAACAATTTTTATTATTGAGAAAAGCTTTATAAATATCTTCTGTCTTTAAAAAAAATATTTTTATTATGTTGTTCAGTTGTCCGATAAAAATATTTAGTTATGAAATTATGATTTAATTTTTATAGTTTGCTTTGTTAGTCAAAAACCATAAATAATAATAAAAACGTTTTTTAATGGTGAATTATATGTTCCTGCACAAATAACATCTAAAAGTTTTCAGTTGTTGAAACACAAAAATGTACTGCATATAAACGCAATAAATACTGATAATGGATGATTAATATGAAATGATTTATTCACTAATTTAATTATTATTAGTTACTATGTACTTAGTATCGATAGAGACTGTTTATAAAAAAGTTTCGATCTTCACGAAATGATAAAATAAAAATGATATATGGTTGAACTTTATCAGTACTAATTTATTTATTTAAAAAAATATTTAAATAAATATTTACTTCACATGAATCATTGGTACTTTATCAGTTATTTATAATTCTAATTTAAAATCAAATACTTCATAGTAGATTCTTATATTGTGGATGATTATTTTGAAGGTTAAATATAAAACTGCAAATACCTGTTGAGGTCCTATATTACTTTAATATAAAAGCTCAGTCATGTTGTTTTAGTTGACATATATATTATTTTATGTATAAGTTACAATTCGTTGTCTTTCATACATGCGACGTCGGAAGACAAAAAGTAAAATAATAATTCGGGTATCTATCGATGGATTTTGTGAAAAAAACTATGCGCCATCTTATCGAATTCATTCTCTAACAATAAGAAACTGCTTGTAGAAAATTCATAGTAAAACAGCTCTTAAACATGCATGGGTTTCCACGTAGACGTACCTTCGCCCAGGGTAGGTGTTAGGCATCATACGGACCATTAAGTCCTCCAGCCGTGCTTGTTATTCATGTTATTCTGGTCGCTTGCTGTTTTTGGAGCTTTCGCGTTTCACGATACCCCCGACTATGTAAGAGAAGACCGTGCGGTAATGCATCATGAACAAAACAAAAGATTCTGTCCGCGCCAGGATCCAGAATACGTCAACTCCATGTAGGTACTGTTTGGAATTTTGAATCAAACATTTACCAATATTAAAGCCACTGAGTCATGTAAAAGAAGTGTAGCAAAAACTGATAAGCGCTTTAAGATATTGGGGATCTACATATAATGTCCGGATCAGATACTTGGTACATGACTTTGTACGGATCAGAGACATGAACTTTAAGGTGGAAAAAATATTTAACTAATGGGGCGCATGGCATCGTGCCTTAAGGCAAATTGCTGGAACTTCTCGTACCAAAAATTATTATTTTTTTAAAAACGATTAACATTTTTGAAAAAAATTATTTCGAAAAAATTAGATTTTTGAGAAACTATAAAATTCAAAAAAAATTGCTTTTTCTGTATTTTGACATATTTTGGAAATATCAAAGCGCTTAAGCGCCGTGTCGCCGTCTAACGGATAAACATTGGTACGGAACCCATAGGAATGTAAACATATTTATACTTATTGTTGAAATCTCTATAAAATATCTGATTATTTGATGTGCATATATCTAATGATCATTTTTGACCGCCAAATGGAATTTTTTTTTACTTTTTTCGCTGGATCTCCGAAACCGCTAGACCTGCCCTCATTAAAATTTGATCAATTCTTCATCTTGTCAATACAAGTAAAATATTTTTTGAGTTATTAAAATCGGACGCTCCGTTCTTTTAAAAGCTGTGTTACCGTTTTCGGCACTTTTTGCACCGTATCTTCGGAACGGCCAGACCTGCCTTCGCCAAAAACTAATCAGCACATTTCCTTATCAATACAAATTAAATGTTTTTTAAATTATTCAAATCGGTTGATCCGTGTTCCCGAAATCGTCGACGAAAATTTGTATTCGAACAGGCACACATACACACATATACACACACACATACATCCATTTTTCTAAGGTGTGCCAAAATGTTCAGAAGGTTTTGAAAAGTAAAGATATATAAAAATTTTCATTTTCGATTTTTTTGCGATTACTATAACTTGCCCTACGGGAAGTTAAAAATATGATGTTGGAGAAAATAAAATAAACTATTGCAGTATCAGATGAAGAAAAATTGTAGCTATAATGAAGAAGATTTTGAAATAAAAAATAAACCTGTAGATTTACCAGTACTATGAAATGACTATATATTTTATTTTCTGATCATAGAGTACTAAATCCTGACTGTATACATATATAATACTAATACTAATTACTATTTAAGTAAAATAATGTCTAAATACTAATTATTACTATGATATTTCTAATATATTTCAAACGATTTCAATCTTATATTTTTCATGGTTTATAACTATTTAATTATATTAGAAAAACGTTACAAGTTAGAGGTTCATGATTTTTTATGATAAACCAATTGTGGGTAAAAGTAATACAAAGTAAAATCGGAGTGACATAACTGTTAGTATACATTCTTCGTTATTTCTTATAAAAAGAGTACTATGATGAAGTAGCTATGAAGTAAAACATATATATTTGTACTATTAAAGTCAAACGTTCTGAAATTTTGAACAAAAAACTATTTTTTCAACTTTTCGCATAATACTCTTTTATAAACTTTAATTCTTGGTATTCTAATCATTTCAGTATATTTTAATAGTATGCATTTCTAATGTATACCCAAGTAATGAAGAAGTCTTGAATATAATACCTTACACGAAATTAACAATCTAGGAACTTCAACAAGTTTTGTTTTTTTTTTCACTGTAACTGTTTGCATACATGTATGAATCTATAACTATTTTAATAATAATTAATCTTTTTTTTATTATTTTTCAGGTTAGTAGATATTTTTTATTAAACCGAACTTAAACTTTTATTCACCCGACCGAATTAAATTATATTTGCAATTAGTATGATATCATAGTTATTGAAACGCTCA